CTCATATCGTCCAGGCCGCCGACGGCCGTGCGTTCGCGCTCGTCGTCGCCGTCGTCGAACAGCGACGTCGCCTCTGCCGTCGTTCCCGTGTGTTGATACTGATTGCCAGATGCGGGAGCAGCCGTGGTGATTAGCCTGCTGACGACCGGATCCTCCGATAGTTTCTCATCCGCGGATGTATCCGCTTCCGGTGGTGTCGCCTCTGGTTCGTTTTGAGCGTTGGTACCCGGATGGTGATCGTCGATGTTGGTGCCGTCGATGTCGGTTCCATGATCACTCGCTTGGTCGTCGTTGGCTGGCGCCGAGGTGGTCGTGATATAGGGCCTGTGATTTCTGAAAAAAAAAAAACCAAATTTCAAAGATAATTCTCACTATCGCACATCTTTTTACGAGAATCAAAATAATTCAATCTCTCGAAAATCTAACGAGGATATTTACAGTTAGCATCTTACAAGTTTATTAGTTTAGGCTTAATTTAAGCGCCGCATTAATAGCAGAAGAAAGCGTAGTTTCATTCGTCGATGGATTAACGTAAATATTTTTATAGTAGTTATTTGCATTTGAGTGAAATTATATATGTGTGTATATGTGTATGTATGTGTGTATGTAAAAAAGTATATGTTTATATGAATATCGTACGTCAAGAAGCGAGAGAATAACTGCGTTATTATAAGAATAAGCTGTAAAGGCATTTGCTAAAATTCCGTATCGTGGCTGAGCTATCATCCTCATTCATCGACACTTCTATCCCGAAGCTATTAGCTGTTTGCGAAGAAGATCTCGACGAACTGGTTTAACACTGGCGAGTAGTTCCCCGTCTATCGCGAATTGCTGAAGAAAAAGCATTTCTCGTTTCGAGCTATTATATTTCTACTTCTCGCTAGACTGCACGGAGGAAAAAGTTTGTCCCGGTTACAAGTACCACGTCGTTTCGCGCCCTCATAAACTTTAAGTATTTTTTAAAAGATAGATTCAAGTTCTATGTTCCACGAGATCGAAATTATAACAATGCGATACGGAATACATTTACGCGAATA